TGATGATCACTGAGCTAAAAACCACCCACTCCTACTTGCAAAAACTAATAATAAAACAAATAAAAATCTCTCCTTTTCTCTGCTTGGCCTCTGGGATTTTGCATCAGCTCAGGCCATCTTTACGGCTCTCCCGGTACGAGGAATCTGCAGGCTGGCAGCTCCCACCCAGCTCGGGATGAGCGGAGAAGGAGGAGGTTGGTTTTTTTTCCTGAGGCTGCCAGCCTGGTCACTTGCCTGAAGCGACTTGCTGCTGTCAGCTTGCCCTTTCACCATGGTCCTCCTCAGCCTTGGGCTCTGAGTGCCTGCCTGCCTGTTGTTTTTATCTTTCTTTTAATAAAAGCTGTGATTTTGGGCAGGGATGGACACACTCCTGGCCAGGATCTCATGGGTCAGCAGCCACTGCTTTCCTGACACCCATAGGCACCTCCTTGAAATCCAATTTGAAACAAACTGGGTTTTTGCTGTAGCTCCACTGGGGTCTGGATTTTGCCATTTTGCCATTAATGCTCCTCCCCGTGCCGTACACAGCCATGGATGTGTGTTCAAGCACCACCACTTAGCTGAGACCCAGCACAGAGCATATCCCCATGTCTCTGGCAAGCCTCACACACCTTCCCTGCAAACAGCACCAGCTTTTGGGAGGATGCAAACCAAACCTAAACCCATCAATTCCAGGGGCAAGTCCTGCATTATTGAGAATTTGTTGCAAGTGCTGCAAGGTGCCAACCTGTCCCCAGGTCTCCAGCCAGTGCCAGCTTCACCGCCCATGCGAGCATCAGTTGAGTGTATGGATGCCGCTTGCACCAAGGGAGAAGGCAAAGTATTGGGAAAACGTCTTTTATTGCAAAAGGAGCAAATTGAAGTCCCTCTCATTCCTCAAGCCAAGCTGCATGTGTTGGCCAGTGCTAGTGATGCCTGGATGGCTCAAGGCAGGCTGTGGTCTGCACAGTAAAAACAGAAAGGGCAGGAAAAACATTGTGTGGGGCAAAGGGGGTGGCATGGGGCAAGGGGGGTGGCGTGGGGCAAGGCAGGCTCCTAAATGAGTTTAACACACTCCATTTCTGGCACTCCCATAGCCACAAACATCCTCATCCCAGCCACCAGTGCCATCTGGAAAGCGGGACCCTGGGGGAAGTGGGGACAGCCAGGGCCCAGAGGGACCTTCTGGAATGCCCGAGGGAAGCCCAGAGCAGGCTCCTCTTCTTCAGCGCCTGCAAACAGTCCCAAAGGACATGCCCTCCAAGACCAGCATGGACTGGGAAACCCCCCAGAGTCAGTGTCAATGGGCCCTTTTTGGGTGGAAGTCAGCAGAAACAGGGATGCAACAGTCTGGTTCCCACCCCCGGGGGCAGATGCAACATTGGGGTTCACCTGGGCACAGTCTCGTCCAGGCCAGCCCTAAGGCTTTGTCTTTGCTGTCAGGACCCAAGGAGGGGCAATCCGTGACGCAGTAGGTCATCTCCATATCCCCATCTCCTGCTACCACTGCAAACACAAGAGCGGGGTGGCTGCTAGGTCCTCCTTTTAAAACATACATCAAAGCTGCAGGCTGCAAGCTTTAAATAAAGCAACAATATCACCTCTGATTTCAGTGAAGTCTAGGGTGAAAAAAGCCCCACCACCAGCCCCATGTACTTGGTATAGATGGACATAGTTATACTTCTTTTTGTTTTCCAAAATTTTATATCAATCAAGGCAATTCACGTTACAGTTCTGTTTTCATAACAGTTAAGAATTAGAAAAGTGGTTAAAAACAAACCCATCAGCATTACAGTCTGACGTATGTCTGGCATGTGCAAACACAAGCATCCAGAAAACCTGACACACAACAGCGCAAGCTTCAAAATTCACACGGGCATCACGTTGACCTGCTGCTCAGCCACGGCTTGCTGTGGGCTGGGGTGGAAAAGGCTGAATCCAACTCCCAAACCTATGTCAGGGATTTTCCTTGGCTGAGTCAAACTAAACCTTGCTTTGGCCAGTGACCCATGGTGTAAATCAGAGAAATCTCCCTAGTAGCAGTTCCCAAGGTGTCTGTGCACAGAGTGCTTGTGCTCCACGATGTCCTAGAGGTCCTCGAGTCCTGCAGTGCTACAGCATAGTGTTAGAAACAGTGTTTTTGGTAAAAAGTTGGATGGAAAGGGCCCCTTGAAGCCCGTGAGATAGCTTGAGGCAGCACTGCTAAGCCTGTTCACAGCATGTGGGGAAGGCTTGGTGCCATGGAGTCACAAAGAGCCACCCACACGGATCCACTCTTCTGCATCATCCCTTACGTCCTCCCAACAGCTTTACCTTTCTCCTAGCTGGAGCACTAAGTAGCTGCGGCCACTTATGCCCTAACTACAGCATTTAGAAAAATAAGGGTACTCTATAATCTTACCCATTTGTTCACATAGTTACATAAAAAGAAAATTAAAACTTTGCTAATAAAATCCTTTCTTTTGAGGGGAGGGGAAGTAATACGGTGTGTCTAATGGAGAATTTCTTCCATGACCTTCCTGACAGTGCCCAAAACCACTGCAAGGAGACTGAAGGCACTCATCTGGCTGCTCCCATCATTTTAATAATAAAGGGATACTAACAGGGATGCTGTGTTTCTCTTCACACAGCCTTACCCCGTACTAGTGAGGGATGTGATGAGTGGCACAGTGGAGACAGGGGAGGAGAAGACACACAACATCTACTGGTCACGCTGGGATCCTTCCAATGAAGTCCTGTGCCAAGGATCCCACTACTTCACTGGCATCTGAGCTGTGCAGCAACGTCTCCGCCACCCAATGACTCCCATGCTAAGGGAGGACAAGTATTTCACAAGCAAAGGTTGAAAGGGAAGAGCTGCAGCCCCTCAAAGCATGGCCTTTATGCATTTCTGGGGCTGGAGAAGCCCTCTCCACACCCTGTCCTCCTTGCATGCTGTGGTCAGACTCATCTCCAGGAGCTCCTCACCTTCACCTCCACCCTCCAGTCCAAGGGCCAAATGCTGCTAGTGCCCTGATGACTGATGCTGGGGCTCCAGGATTAACTCCTTGCCAAAGGGTGTTTGTAACTTATAACATAACCACTGTTTGTAGTGGTGGCAGTGAACAAACCTGAGTCCTTCATAGTTAAAAGCCACAAGAAACAGGCTTTGGGACACACTTATGCTCCTGCTGGACAGGGACCTATCGGGCTCCCCTGCATCTCGTTTTGAGGCTGAAACACCAAATTACGCAGGGCAGATTCAGACCTCAAGGGATGCTCCAAAGAGTCCATCAAAGTGGACCTCCTCACTTCCTTCCTAACTATAAAAGCACTTCACATTTTGCCCCAGACACCTAAATTTCTACTGCTGGACCCCATCACAACTCTCAGGTTTAGTGCATCTCCTTTTCTGCGTCCTGCAAAGCCAAGTGGCAGGAGATGGGCTTTGAGAAAGATCTGCACTGGTATCCAACCCTAACCAAAACACAGCACCATCGCCCTGGGTGGCAGACTTGTGCTGGACCCACGCTCAGCCCACACACAATCCCATGAGAAACCCCGCAGATGCTGAGCTCTCCTTGGCTGGTCATAGCCTGGGCAGGGTGCCCCAAACCTTCCCAGCCAACAGAGCTCAATTCTGCAGAGGGTCATTAAAAATTCAGGGGCTGAAATGCGCTCCCACCCAGGGCACAGCCAGGAACATCCAGCCCTGGGGAGGAAGGCTGCCAGACTTCAATCCTGTTTGCTCTGTCTTGGAGCAGAGATTGCTCATGGCTCTCTGTAAATGCATCTTGCCGTACAAAACCAAATGGGAAAGCTTGGAAAGAGGCGTCTCTGCAGCTCCATCCTGCCTGCCGGGGACTTGGGGTGCAGGACCATGTCACCCCGTGTCCCCTCCAGAAGCCTCTGACAGTAGCCCTACATCCAGCACCACAAATGCTGCCTGAGGAAGGCCCCTAATTCTCCTGGGGAGAGAGGAGGGATGCTTCAGAAAAACCCTCAACAAGATCATCACCTCTTAACTGCGACCTGAGATGGAGATGGGTATTAGCTTAATTTCACAGTAGATGAGAACATTTCTGCAGCTGCAGTGAGAACACCCGCTGGCACAGACCCATCAGTGCAAAAGCCGGTGTTTTCCACCCACCAGCAAGCCGGCTAGCAGCAAATGTGACTGTCAATCCAAGACACGTGCCGCTTGCGGGAACCAGCTGTTCCCGAAGAAGCGCCGCACGTACTTTCTGAGAACGGCTTTGCTCCGGGCAATCCTTCTGCCAGCAACAAACCTGAAAGCTCATCTGTCCTTAAAAATCAAAAGGGATGATATCAGCAGGATAATCATTCATGTAACAAAGCGAGACCATAAATGCTTTAAAAAGACTAATGGGGCATGCTGGTATGGACGGCGCTGCTCTAGGAAAGGCAATGTTGACACCCAAGGCAAAACACACAGGCAAGTGCCTTGCAGTGGGTGTTAAATGGGCGAGCAGGTGGGATGCAGCTGCCCCAGAAAGCAATATGCAGCCCATACAGTTAAAATACCTGGACATCATTCGAGTAACCTGGCCCGCCTGGTACCCGGGAAAGCACAAGCATGGGGAACCTGTTAGTCTAGAGCCACACTAGACCAAAAGGGGAAAAAAATAGACGTGTATATATGTGTATCTCTAGTTTGTTTTCTGCTCTTAAAAAAGTCCTTTTAAATATATTTGCCATATCATAAAATTAAAGGCAGGTTGTGCTGTAGCAACCCTCCCACGTCAAACACCCCCATGCCCAGCACCAGGTGCTTCCACAAAACCAGAAACACTCCCACTGGCACTAACCAACCTCCACCTGAACTGAACTGAAAAGGTATTGTGTTTACTATGTGTCTGCAGACAGACTGACAGCTCCTTCCTGACCTATACAGAGAAAATTCTGCCTACCGTAACCCAATAGGAGTCTCCCACCTGCCCCAAATAGAAAAAAAAAAAGATCAAAAGATTGCCCCCATTCCAAATAAAAAAGAATTACCCCAAGGATAGTGAAGTCTATTTAATTCCCTTCCTCAATCCCTGTCTCAAACAAAATGTGCAATTAGAATTATTATTTGTTACAAAGTCCTAGGTAAGGCATTGGTTATCCCAAAGCTGATGGAGGAGCCTGTTAGGAAACCCAGAGGAAATAGGCAACTTCATCCAGGTCAACGGGGTAGTCTGTGAGCAGCACCGGGGTCTTCTCGAACAACGCCCCCTTGTAGCTGCGCCACTTGCCCGCCGGCAGGTAGACGTCACGCTCCTGCTTGCCCATCTCCAGGACGGGTGCCACCATGAGGGTGTCCCCAATGAGGAACTGGGAGTCGATCCTGTGAGTGGCCTCGTCACGGGGCGAGATCCACCAGATGGGACGGATGATGGGGTCGCCCGTGTCGGTGACCTCCCCAGCAAGCTCCAGCAGCAGCGGGGCCACCAGTGACTCGTGGAGCTCTGTGAACTTCTGCGCAATCTCCACCACCTCCTTGTCGTAGAGCCAGGGTGGGATGGAGAACTGCATGGAGGGCATGAAGGCCGACAGCTCCAGCCACCGCACGTACAGCTCTCGGTCAGGGATCTCCACCGCCCCGTCTGTCTTGTTGGGGAGGAAGTTTCCTCCAATCATGTCAGCGGATATGAAGGGGTACCCCAGCATGCTGATGGTGAGCACCGTGGGGATGAGGGACTTGAGGCCAAGCTCGTAGCCCCAGACGGAGTCACGGTCAATGATGCGGAAGAAGCAGGAGATGTTCTGTGACTGGTAGCCCACCCGCACCTCAGCCAGCTCGTAGAAGGGGATGGCCATCTCCGTGTAGCGCCGCGACCAGATGCTGGGGTCCGAGAGTGGGCGGAAGGTGCTGAACTGCTTGGGCAGGTAGCTGGTCTCACCCGCATCAAACTTGAAGGATGAGATGCCGTACTTGTGTCGGAGCTGGCGTAGGTGGCTCTGAAACCAATCCCGGGCTGCTGGGTTGGTGAAGTCCAGGATGGCCCCGATGCCGTTCCACCATTCCACCATGGCCGGCAGCCGCCCCGATGGCTCCTTGATGAAAAGCTGACGCTCAATTCCCACCCCAAAATTGGAGGAATTGTAATTTATGAAAGGGTGAGTCCATAGAGTGACCTTAAACCCATCTTCCCTCAGTTT